TGCACTCTTACACTGGTATAATCTTCCTAGGGAGAGATGACAGGAAACAAAATCTATATAGTTTATATTAGTGCATGCTTACTAAGTTACAGTTTTTTAGGAAAAAATAAAGCCTAATCCAGGGAAGATAATCTCAGTCTTGTATATGTCACAAAATTATCCACTCATTTGTCTCCTTATGCTTTGTTCTTCTCTGTTATTACAAGTGCATCTCGTTCATGTTACATAAAAAGAGAGACGCTGTGGAATCAATCATAGTTTCAGGGGAGAAAGTGATATGAGTGAAAACATTACCAGGTGATTATCAGTTCATTTAATGCATAACATTATGTTTCATGAGATGAAATTCTGCCACAGACTCAAAAATAATCTTTAAACCTTTTAAAAGATCTTTTCACCAGGTCCAGCTCACCATATCACAAACTTTGTGGTCCTACAAAGCATCTTTATGTTTTCTCATATCACATTTATTTCTTTACCTGAAGGTCTCTGGAGGAACTTATAGATTTCTCCACAAAGACATAACATAGTTTTCAGAAATCTTACAGATGGGCTGATTTCTGTTGGAAGCAATAATTGAAATATCAAACACAACCTCTACACCCTGCAGACGTGACTGCGCCGCTCCTCAAAGTCACCACTACTCTTTGACATATCAAGGAAATCTCTAACCTTCCTCTCTCTACACTTCAAATATATCTGTTTTCTGAAAGGTTGAAATATCAATTTCCAAGTGAAATTAGAACTTTACACGGGCAACACTTTTATCTGAAGGGGCACAGTTTCTCTATTCCTGTGTGTGCGTGTGTGGAGAGACAGACATGCACAGGAAGGAAGGCTGAAGTCGAGATTAAGGTCTGTACAACTAGCTGGTAACACACTCAGTGGCTCAGCCTCCTATTTGAAGAAGGACGGAACCATCTGTGTGGCACAGGATCTGTTTCCAGGAGATAACGACATTTTTAATTTCACAAATACTGTAAGGGGAGAGAGAGCGCAAATGTGAGAGACATGCCTTCCTTCCCAATCTCTGTCTGCACGGTCGCCCCGTTGCAGCACTTCCCCAGACGTCCAGAGAGGACGTGTTTTCGAGTGGAGGCCTTAATAACTTCAGTCTGTGTTCCTTTGCGCTTGTTTATCCCACGCCTGTGATAAAGGGCTCGATGTGGGGCAGAAGGAAAGGGAGGGATTCATTATATCATGTAGCGGTGGCGATTTGCACTTCCCATTTTCTCTGCCGGCCTGTTCGCTTGGCGTGATTAAAACACAGCTCGGTGCTACTGTAGATTAGCCCAGCTGTATCCTGTGTCAGAGTCTGATCTGAGCACATTTCCTACAATGAAGTAGAAAGGGTGGGAGGTGACAAGATGTAGCAGTGGGAATGGGACGAGGAAAAGAAAGGGGTCAAAAGAAGGTCAGAGGTGAGTGACCAGGCGAGGAAGTAAAAAAAGGTGAGGAGGGATAGCGGGAGGTGAAATAGGCACAAGATAAGGAAGGGAGGAGGAGGAAGGTTGTTCTTCTTGGCTGTAGCTGTCAGCATTTCAGCTACATACTGTGGTGACACTGGTTTGAACCTGCATTCACAACCGGGTGTTTATGTGAGCTACAAATGCGCCTCGTTTGAAAAATGCATAATTGAAGGTGCAATTTGTGAATGCTTTATATGTTGATGAATTTTTGAAGAGTCAATTCAACAAATAATTTTCAGAAATGCTTAGCTATAAAGGGTGAGTTTTCAACCATGAATGTTCCAGATAAAGTAATTCAAGCATCTCACCTGCTGTGAGAAAGCTGGAGAAAAGACACCAGATAATTCCAGTGAAAACAATATTATTACTAGATATGCCTGTGTGTGTGCTGTGGCGCTTAAGAATATGAGTGGATATGTGCACATTTGGGAGAAAGCAAAAGGAAAAGAGAGAAAGAGTGATATTTCAAACACACAATTGGGGTTTTACTTGGCCTCCACCCACCGCTCTGCTCCCACGCTGTGGCGTCAGCAGGCCAGCCATCCAGCGAGTGTGTTTCTCATTCCATCAGATGTTGGGAAGCTGCTCGCTTCTTGACTCTAGTCTCTGACATTCTCCATCTCCCCAGAGAGGCTGGGCAGCCTTGTCACAGTAATGTCAAACACATGTGGAGCAGACCAGAGAACGGCCGACCAAAAACACAAACACACACACACAAAAGACAGAGGACTGAGCAGCAGGCATCCAGAACCACGCTGGTTTACCCCAGTGTGCGTCAGGATAAACAGCACCGAAACTATAGAGATGCTGCACCTCATCATTTGCTCTCATAAATTTACACAAAAAGCACAAATTTTCATATCGCTCTCACTGATCTCACTTCAACTGTGTAATAAGCACACGGTTCCTCTGCTGTGAGCAACAGTTCTGCAAAGAACTGCCAGAGAGCAAAAGTCAACTAAGCTGGATGTTTCTCTACATCACAGATGTACAGTATAACTCCCCTGTTAGTCTGAGCACACGCAAATATACACTGAGGGCTGCAACAACTGGAACCAACAACTAATGACTGGCTTCTGTACAATTTGCAGTTTTAGAGTTACTGAAACCATAAGTGCTGTGTTTTTTTCTCTTTATCTATTAAGGCATAATCTTCTCAAATTAAAGGCAAGGCCATGTGACTTCCTACAATCAGCTAATCAGAGCAACTGGTGAGCGACAACTTGTATGACAAAGAAGAAGACAATCAGGGGAGTGTACATATGTCAAACAACACAAATATGAACTACTTCAACTTATTTTCACCATAAACTTTGCTGCTATAGTGTTTGATTAAGAATAGTGTGTTATTCATATAAGGTTTTGCTTCTTAATTAATTAGATATAGTACACACAGCTCCTCCGTTTAATGAGGAAATCACTCACACATAAACCCATCAAAACATCTTCAAAACTGGGATTGCGATTTTTTTTTCTTTTTGTACCACTGACTAAACTTTGCAGAAAAGAGAGGAAGAAATGAAAGATTATCTTCTCAAACCGCCTCGTCTTGTTTATTTCTTCTTCTCTTTGCTGAATAGCGATTTTCCTTTTCAACACACTGTGTTTGAAATTTCCCAGCTAATACATCTACAGCATGAGGGTTTCTATAAATGTTTGTTGACTAGAGAAAGATATGTAAACACACGCAAACACAGGTTTTATATCTTTGGCCTGTGTCAGCCGCTTGACTTGTCTTGTTTGTGATGGCCCAGGTGTCTCTGTTGTGCTGACCACCTGACCGGCTCGCTGTGTGCTTGCAGCTCCCGCCCACCCAGGGCCATCTGCTCCACTCATTAATTAGGAGGCAGCCAGTTTCACCTGCACTGCCTGCATTTAGATCCCAATAATTAACACACACAAACGCACACAGACACATACTCAACAAGCCCACACACCCATATAACAAACACATAAGCTGAGGCATCAAGTCAAAGCATAAGCGAGAGCCTTTTCTCTGTTAGACACTGAAGGCTTCTATCATCTCCATTTCTGCTGTTGAATGCCTGATATGTAACTCACTGATAAACTAATGAGGTATAACAAACAAAAGAGAAAGCCATCTTGAAGTGAATGGAAGTGAAGTACACTGGCCTGTGGTTTTGCTTGATGCCTTTTCTTCTGAGGAAAAGTGGTCCTATTACTCAAAACCTGTGGTTGTTTCCCTCTGTATATATAAAACAGCAGACATCCTATCCGTGCACCTGTAGTAGATGGGAACTGAACAAACACTCTGCAGGCTCGGGTCATAATGAATGGCCAGCCTTTTAAGAGAGCTACTTAATGATGAAGTGGGGACATCTGCCCTAGCAGGCAGCAGGCCCTCCTGGTCTGAGCGATTGGGCAGCCGCCACTGGGAAGGAGAGAGGACGAGATGCTCACTTGGTGGTGATGGAAGTATAATGTGCGGTGAGGCAGGGTGTCTGCACTGCGGTTTCACCTCTGCAACCTCCCATCTATTGTTCAAGACTATTATCAACTGTTCAATTATTCAGATGATATTTACCAGGGCCAATTACACGGGGCCACATCCTGCAGAGAAAATGGCCGGAGTGTTTTACTGTTGCACTTGCATGCGGAAGAGTGCGCTGCTGAGGCTGTTCAAGTGGGGCTCAGAAACCTTTGGCTGGACTTGTTTTCTTCGCTGGGAGTGTCTCCACACTCACAAGAGTTATTATGAGCCGTCCAGTCCTTTATAACCCACTTCTCTAGTGCCTCCACAGAATGGTCTCACCGCAGTGACACATAAAAGGTTATCCCTCAAAGCTGTTCAAATCTTAACATAAACAAACACTCGTGACACCATACCTTGCACTACACTGTTTTGGGGCACCGAGCAGTTCAGTTAAGGGTAAATGCCTAAATGTATCCCTTCACACCCATTGCCTTCATCCAGACCAAATTCACAGAGACCAAAGATTTTGTGTCACCACTTTGTCTCAGCATCACTTTGATGTGTAGCACAGACTCATGTGGCGAACAACTCATGACCTCCCCTTGCTCTGTCTTTCAGTGTCTGTCTTTTTATGTCTAATCTCAGCTCTAAAGAATTAAAAGTACAGGAAAAGAGAAAAGTTCATATAGCACTACTGATATTAATAGCAACAATAATATTATTAGAGTCACTTTTTCCTGCCCCTGTAACTGTCTCTTGTTACCAGTGTTATTCAATTCAATTATATTTACAAGGCAACATCCTACAGTGGCCCAGCAGTAACCATCTAAAGACATCATAACACGCAAAGCGACAAAAAAAGGCAAAAGCAAAGGTTATCCAGTATCCTGATCTTCACCTTCACAGATCAATAAAACATTGAATGCTTACAATAATGTGAAAGCTTACACTTGAAATATTTTAGTATTTAAAGCTTTTCCATTTAAAACATCGAAAGGGCAATTAAAAATAATGCATGCCAATAAAAATAATAATAGACATGTTTTTTTAAAGGCGTTTTGCCGTAGATTCACTCAAAACTGACTTGTTGTACTTACTTTATGAAGGTCGAGGTCAAGCTGAGGTAACAGTAGCGGAGATAATCCACACCAAATAGTTTCTAAAACCGATTTTTATATGTCATCTCAATCCTCATCATTTGAAAATAATAATAATAATAAAGCTTTGTCGCGGTCTTATTCCTTATTTTTCTGTCTTTGAAATATTGAGAGGAAAGAGCGAGAGTCTAGCAGGAAAAAACAGACGGTTTAACTTTCCTTTGGGTGTTCAGTAGGGGGTCTTGACTTTCCAGGTTTAATAAATTATGAGGTATTTCACTTCTCAGTTATATCGAAAAACGTATAAATAAAATCAAAGCCAGAGCTCTTGGATCTTTAAGCAGATTGATGTCTTTGGTTTTTGCAGTCTGAGTTGTTGTTTTTGTTTTTTTCTTTTAAAGCAAAAATCAGAACTTGTCCCAGGCATGTAAATCCGCACTCTTGCTCATTTTAACCATCCCAGATCGAAGAAGGAAAAACACAGCCGAGTTTCACCTGCAAAAAAACCCAAATATATCTATCTATCTATCTATATATTTTTTAAAGCGAACAAAACTATTAACCTGTCGCTACTGCAGAAATCATCGCATCTCCCAGGCAAAACCCCCCCGAAATTATAAAGATGCGGATCCTCTGTTCGGCAGGGTGCGTCTATTATTCCTCCTGTTACAACTTTAAAACCCTCCTTTTTTAACTTCACAGTTAAGCCACAGTCCGCGGTGTCAGGAGCGACTCCTTGTACATCCGACGAAACGAAGTGACCTTCTTCTTTTTCTGTCTCTTTTAAAAATGTTTAAGCACACAGTCACCCTACAGCCCGTGGACAGGCTGCTCCACCACCACGCTTCTCAGTACGGCACTTCTCCGACGCGCTGTCTTTCAGTGTTGTGGTCTTTAAAGAAAAAAAAAAAAGAGGAACGCAAAAAAAAAAAAAAAAAAAAAAGCTTCACTTCCAAAAAAGAAAATCACATTCGGCTGAGCAGATCTGACGGTTTATTTTCCTTTGGATTCACAATTTGGGATTTGCAGACTTGTTTTGTCTTCTTCACTGATGAGTGGAGCTGGCGGGGCCACTGTGCGCAGTAACCGCGGCTCTCTCCTCCTCCTCCTCTCTCTCTCTGTCCTCGCTGTAGCCTTCTGTCTGCGTTTAAACACCATCTGGAGCTCCTAACCTCTCTCTCTCCCTCCCTCTCTCTCTCTCTCCCTCTCTCTCTCGGGTACCATCATAGGCGAGAGCTGGCAGCTATTGTGCAGGAATCCTTTCTAAATTGAAAAAGATCCAACATTGCACATTGTAAACCCCGCATTTGTCTAAAGTTATTAAAAATATGCGATTTAACCAGTAAAACCTTGCTAAAAAAAAAACCCACATCTGCAGTTCTCCAATAAAATGCAGGCAAAAATGAATAATAATAAGCTGGATGAAGATGTATCGTAATGACATTATATGGCTGTATGGTTTGTAATATATAGCCTATCCTTTCCTACCTATATTTTTTTTTAGAAGTTTTTTTTAGAAGCTAAACAGCTCGAATCCAAAAGCTCTGAGACTGAGTGAAATACAACTCTTTTACCGTCCCGCTGTCTGCCCGTGGGGGCCGCTGTTTCCTCATATCAGGACGAGGGGACGACAAGGAAGGCAGATTATATTTACTTTAACACTTGGGGGGGAAACCACAAGCTTTCTGAGAACTGAATGAATGCAAAAGAATGCGTCTGTCGGCATGTGACCATACGCCAATAAACGCAACGCGTCTCGTAAAAGTGACAGTTTCCCTTTATGTTCAAGTGTTGTCCTTAATAGTCAAGTCAGTGGATTGTTGTAAAGAAGGATAGCAGGACGATTCGTCTTGTAAAAGAGCTCTATAAATGTGCCCCATATCTTCCCACCCATATACTTGTTTCAACTGCGATCACACGTGGCAACATTAGTATTCCCACTTTGCAATGGATTCATGAATGATGACTGCTTCAACCTTTAATCCTTCTCATTTGATGTAACATCTGTCCGAGGATGACGAATGACAATTCAAAAAAATAACAATTATTTTAAATGGACTAATCTGTCTTTTTTTTTTTTTTAATCAATTCATTAGCACGTCAATAAAATTTCAGCAGTTTAAACGGTGAAAAATGTCCATCGGAAGTTTCCGGAAGCAAGAAGATGTTCTGCTCTCCGGATCAGCAATCCCAAACTTTTTCATTTATTTATTTAGAAAACGCAGTTTTATTTTTAGGTTTCTTTTAAATCTGAAAACAATAATATTAAGTACCCATAAATATATAAAGTAATATGAATGCATTGTCCTAAATAGGTAAACAAATACACTGGATAGGCAGACAGAGATACACAAAGAGCGACAGCAAAAAAGGCAGGTACAGTACATCTGCCTCCTCTATAGTGAGAATCCTCCACCTGTCCACACTGGTCTGTTAGTCCCTTTGCCCCACCCACCTGCCCTCTCTCCCTCCAACAGACACACATAGCCATGGAAGGGGACAGAAGACAAAGCTGACACCCTTCTGACCCCTTCTGCGTCGACAGAACAAACAGAACCAGCTTGTAAAGTACACACAGACAGCTGCTGTGCCCTGACTCCAGTCTCACCAGCCTTCGCCAGCACTGAACGCAAATGCTGCCGTCGTATGGAGACTTCTGAAAAAGCCCTCCACTGCTGATTAAATAATGTGAGCAAGTGCGCAGGGGGGGAAGCCCCGTTCCTCTCTGACTGGAACAGTTCCCTGCACGGCTGATGAGAGGCAATAACTTCAGGTAACGTCAGCACCAGGTGCCAATGTTCTTTTTTTTCTTCAAGCCACAATATCTGATCAAGCTGTTGCTGCAAATGTGATCAAACCAACAAAAGCAGGAGAAATACACCGCAAGATTACACACATAAACTGATGCATGGGACATTACAAGGGTGAATCTCCCACAGACTGGGTAGCTAGCGCTAAACTTCAGAGTTTTGGCCCTAAAGCAGCTCTGTATACATGCATGTTGCAGTGTGTGTGCGCACCATTGGTGACTTATTTGCTCTCTGCAGAATACTGAGAAAGGAAGAGATATGTGTGTCTCTGTGTGGCCCTGAGTGACAGAAAGGTAGGCGATGGGGGTTGCATCCAAAGAAAGGATTCCTGTCAAGGTGACAGCTCGGAGATTGACAGGATGCTATTCTCTTCGGGAACAGCGTCAGTCAACCTGTCAGCCTCCCTGTACGACAGCCTCTCACTCCTCTTAATTTGGCCTTTTGTTGAGTGGTCACCGGGTTAGCTCTGACACTCCATGTGGCCAGCCCGATAAACTGCACAATGAAACACACTCACGCAAGGTGGGAACTCGCCTCGATGAACTCTCTGTGGCATAATACTGTGACTGGAAGTCCCTTTGATGGCATTAATGACAAAAACAGCTTTGTCTTCCCCGCCTTTTCACTCTCTATCTCCCTGTCACACCACAAACACCCCCACCCTCCACCTTCCAACCATTGCTCTGGATTCTATTATGTTGGCAGCATCTTCTGGGTAGTTGAGCACAAACTGAGACAGAAGAACTCAGTTCGGTCATTGTGCTGCTTTGGAAATGACTATTTCTGTTTGTGTGTGTCAGACTAAAAGCAAGAAAGAAAGAGAGAAGTTTTGCAGCATTTCCTCCTCTTGCACATTGTAAATCCTTTCCTATAGTGGCAGTCACAGGCTAGTGTGTTGAAAGGAGATAAGGCCCTGAGCCGGCTGAAAGGAACGCTAGACCCATTGTGTCCCTGCGCTCTTCTCCCTTCTGCTATCCTTTCCTCTGTCGTGCGCGTTCAACAGACCACACGTTCGTGGAGCTACCATTAATGTCACCAGTGTAGGCTCCAGGCAGACGTGAAGGAGGAAATAACACATAACACATTTTGATCAAAAGAACGGGGGGGGGGGTTAACTGCACCGAGTTATGCTGTTTGATAGAAACGATTAGAATCATACCGAGCCTCCTCTCCTCTGAGTCACATGCATCGTTTGTGAATATGACTCGTGTACTTTAAACTCTATTTTCTTTGATAAAGCACTTAACGGGATGTTTATCTCTCACTTTGTATTCCAGCATCTTAAATGTGTGCAGGTCCTCCAGCTGCTCCATCATATTATGAAAGAGAGAGTTCCTGTAATATGGCGTGGTGTAACGGATCATTGACCCACCCACTCAAGCACACACGGCAGAATGCTGCTTTTACAAATTGCACCCATAGACCCCCTGACATTTTGTTTGCAATCAAGCAGGAAAGTATCGCCTGTTTGAATCATCCAGGCATGATGGGAATCGTAAATTCAATCCATGCTCTTGGACCAAGTACTTCATTTCCAGTATTGTCATCTTCAACTAATAAGAGTACTATCTATTACGGCATTACTGTAGATGCTCCAGCATATGCAATGAAGCTGATTAATTACCCACTCTATGTGCTTTGGTTAAATTCTGCATTTCAGATGGTGAAATTTGGCACGAGTATCGCAGGGATGTGTTTCATTCATAGTGTTACAACCAAATATGGCTTCAGAGGACTTACACGCTGGCATGAAGTTTTCTTTAACCAGAGTGCTAGGCTATGTGTACACGTGGTCATATCTGACCAAGAGAAGTGCAAACTTACAAAAGAGGAAGTGACATCTGATCAAATCAAGTGTTGACTCAAGAGCAGGATATGCAGCCTGAGCGAGGCGAGGGGGGACGGACAACAGCCAGTAAAATGTCTGCAGGCAGGTGAACGCGTCCCATACGTTCACATGAAAAAGTCAGTGCTAAGTATGTCTGTGTTTCCCAAGAGACAATATGTGTGTGTGTGTGTTTGTGTGGAAGCAGACAGTTGGTGGTGCTGGCACTGGAGATAGTGAGTAGAGGGGGATGAGGCGCTGTATCAAGTTGTGAACATCTGTTCCTCATAGAAACCACAAAGCTGGTACTGAGGAAATAAAGAGGATAACTGCTCTACTGCTCTCTCTCTCTCTTTCACACACACACACACACACACACACACACACACACACACACACACACACACACACACAC